GTGTGTGTGTGTGTGTGTGTGTGTGTGTGTGTGTGTGTGTGTGACTTCAAATACGCGTAGAACTCGCGTTCGGCCACTTGGAATTTTTGGCGTGAGAATTACTAGCTCGGGGGCAGCGAAGATTAGAAAACTGAAATTTTGCTAGAGTATTTGACACCTGTGTGCAATCCATGGGTTTCAAATCCAGCTCTCATGTAAGTCTAGGTCTCACCTAGGGCACGTGAAATTTTGGTGGAAAAATTGCGAACTCAACAACCAGAAAAACTAACAGGCTAAAATTTATGAAGGATATTGTGTGTCCATGTGCGACACAGAAGATTTTAGACTCAGTATCCACATACACCTGCACTTCGCCTACGGACACGTGCACATGGCGGAAAATTTTCCAACGCTGAAACCATACAAGGCAGGAGCCAGAATTTCAGGAGCATGTTGCTTGTCCATGTGCGGCTCCATAAATTTTAGATTCAACTTCCATTTACGTCTAGATTTCTTGATGTAAGTTTGGCGATATAAGTTTTGAACAAAACACTTCGAAAAAATTTGCTTACACCAGACAGCGGAACAGCGAGCATTTTTAACAGCAGGCGTCAGCAAAAAGAGACCGAATTGCACAAAACGCATGATCGCACTAGCGTAGCTGATGTGCTCTGCTTACGTTTTTTCTTTTGTTGCTTAAGCGTAACTCGATTGTTTATCGAATTATTCGGGACTTTTTTATACGGGATAATTTATTTTCAAAAAATTCGTTGCAGATCATGAATTGCATCGAGTCAGATGAGTGGCTTTTGAAGCCAGCTTCTTTGAATACGTTTCTTCTCACTGCTTACGTGGTTTGTTTTTTTCATATCAGATGCATTATATTTTTCCTGTTGATTTTACAGGCGACAAGATCGGAGGTCGGAGGGGAAGGCGTATGTGGGAGGAGAGGGAGATAAATCAGAATGTCGACGGTGTTACGATGTCGCAAATTTTTTCATCCCTTAGACGATGTTATTCCCAGCTAACCATTTAATTACTTCCCTGTGAAAACTATTTTGCTAATCCTATTTTTGCTGGTTTTGTATTTTTTATATTTCAAACTTTCTGAAGCAAAGTATATTTGTCCATTG